ATTCCTGCTCGGTTTTGTTCAAAGCATCACCGCTCACCCGCCTCCCCCAAATTCTGTCCCGTGCTGTCGCCAGCTCCCACAAGTAACGGGCATATTTGCCTATTTGGCAGACTCTTCCCTTCCTTCCACGCTGGATTTTTTTGGCTAGCTTTCTGCTCCACCGGGACAGACAAGAGAAAACCAGGAAAAAAAAAAAATAAGATACAGAAGATACCGGTCCAGTCGCCTGCCTGGGTTTAGCGGGAGAGTGATGTGAGCCCATTTAACGAACCGGAGTTTGACGGATGGGGAAACAAGCTCTTCCGCAATCCCGACAGCGTGCAATCAAACGTGCTTCAACAAAGCTCCGCTAACACTCCCTCCTCGCTTGCAAGCGCTCGCCTGTCGATGGGCTCTGGCATCACGGTCCCCCGCCCCGAGGGACTCTGAATCTACAGGATCTGTCGCTTGAGGCTGCCTTTGAGCCTCGCAGCTTGGAAACGCTCCCACGCGCTCCGCTTAACGTCTCTCCCCTCGACAGCCCCAGGTGGGTCTCAGCTAAGGGAGAACCAGGAAACTACAAAGCATGGAGTGGTTCGTAAGAAGAGCAGTACTGAGACTGGGGGAGGGAAGAAAGAGTTTTAGTAGTCAAATAATTGCTTGTTGAGGCAACAGCTTTCTAGTCTCCAGCTTCATTTGTCACAGTGCGATAGGATCACGTTTCCATACTGCTGGAAAGAAAGGTTTGGGAAGTCTCCTTACCACCACGAGTAAGTGGTGCGGCTGCTGAGCGACAGATCTGCTCCTCAGGAACCTTCTGAGAAGTCAGTGGGTGAGGATGCAGTGCAGGGCAACGAGCGCAGCAGACCAAACCCACGTTAATCCGGCTCTCGAGGACGCACCGGCAGAGCAAAACATCCCCCGGACTCAGAGTGGGAGACTCACCTGGAACCCTGGATCGCAGGAAGTAAAGAAACTTCCCGTTTTTGGAGTGCATGATCGCCCTCTTTATGAACTCCACCACAGACTGGCAGCGGTCTTCAAACTTGGGATGGCACCAGAGGCTGAAGGTCCCTTCCAAGAGAACAGAAAAGGTTTCACGTTATAGGAGCACGGGTGGCAAGAGGAGACGCGGAGCCGCGAGTCTGATGTTCTCAACGACCAGGCGAACGCCCCAGGCCGACTACTTCTCCTACAGCTGGGACGAGGCAGGGCGCTAAGAGGAACCACCAGTGGCCCCAGCTTGCAGGGATGCCGTTCCACTGGAACCAGCGCTCTCCCAGAGCCGAGGAGACGCAGAAAGACATGACAACGTTGACCACCGTAACCCCAGCACGGCCACAAGTCCTGCTTGCCTGAACTTGCGAACCGCCTGCAACGACTGCCGGGGTTAAAACTTAAACTACCGAAACGTGCAGAGCGTTAACACACACCGCTGCTCCGCCG